GTCCCATTTTCAACTTAAGAGAAAGGTCTTTGTTCTTATTTAATGATTTGCTTTCTTCCCTTTTTTTTTCCGCGATATTAACAAGTTTGTTCCAAATTCGATTTTGAACAATTTGATCGTCAACTTCAGGAAGCAGATTCAAATAACTAGGGATTTTTACAGGTTGGCCATCCACGGCACTTGAAAACAACTTGTTGATCTGTAGACATTCAAGACATTTTGGACCTTTTGTCTCGGCCCATTTCAAAAATAGAGAGGCACACCGAGAAACTCCAGCATTGCTGTGCATGGCGAAGTGCTTAATTAGATCCGAACGTTGGATGTTATGGTTGACGGCATCCTTTCCCCCAGGATATCCGTACGGTTCCACCGACTCCCGTGGCATTAGTTCTTTGTCCCAGCAGACAAAAAACTTGTCACCATCCAAATCGCCACCGGCGGATTTATGTGCTGCGGGTACATCTCCGTTCACGGAAAACAATAATACATCGACAATATCTTCACATTCAGGAAGATGGACCCCCTTAAGCACAACGATATCCCCCGGGTGGTAACAGGGATTTCGAACGTAAAAAATGGGACCGATTATTGTGATCGGTTTGTTATTAATGATAGGTCTAAAAAAGCATTGATATTCTTTTAACTTCCCGGTAGGGTCCGATGCCCCGAACGCCAATCGCGAATCCTTCACTATGATGCGCAACTTTTCTGATTCAACTGTACCGCTGCGAACTTTTTTTGTTTTTAATGAAGATCCCAACTCTTTATTGTAGGATTGATTTAAATATTCGATAATTTTCTTCGTGAATCCATTCTCAAATAGCTCGTCGGCTAGAGCCACTTCACCGTTTGTCAAGAGAAATTCGAAGGCTACGGATAAATCCGTGAACATTGTATTCAAACGTTCAAAGTGCTGTTCCTGTTTATGCAGAAATGCATCATCAGGTACACCAATTGATGATAGAAGAATTACAATCTGCGTGTTCAAACGCCCGAACGCGTAGGGCTTTGAATGTTCAACGACATAAAAGGAATTATCTGCTCGGTATTCGAATTTTTTCATTGATTTTCGAAAACGACATTCCCATCCTTTTAAATCGGTTCCTAACAACAAAATTCCTTTGAACCCTCGATAACGGATTTGAATTACGGATGGATCGTAACGCTTGTTACGATATCTTATCTTTAACTTGTTTGAAACTTCTCGAATTATATCTTTAGAAACTAATCCACACCCATCCGTAAAGCAATGATCATCTTTCATGACATCATCTAAGAGAACGTTATTATCGTTAATGTCGAAGGGTAAATCGATTACTTTATTCCCAGTTGAAAACAATAAGCCTATCCTTTTTGCCAATTTTGCGGTATTATTAAATTTGGTCCAGTCACCGAATTTATCAAGAAATCGCTTTATTTCACGTTCATCCGCTTCCAATAAAACGCATTTGCGATCTTTTATCAAGGAATTCGATTGCCCAAGGTAATTATATTTTTTATTATTGATGACAATACCCTCGGTAAGGATTCTTATGATGTATTTTGAAGACGATTGCCCTTCAAAATATAAACCCGAGAAATCGGCCGTTAAAATCTTATCAGGTTCCACCACAGCAAGGATCCTGCTGTTTGGCATGATTTGATATGAAAATTTGATTTCATTTGAATTGATTGTTAGTGCTTTCACGTAAATTTTATTATTTTGCGAGGGGGGAGGGTCCTTATTTGTATCGAATTTAATCAATGGTAGATCCGCGTGATTTGGGAAAGTATCATTATTCATGGTGCCAGTTGTTACTCTCGCGGTATTTACAATTTGAAAGGAAAATAAAAATTAAAAAAAAAAAGAATTCTTAGAAAAAGTTTATATAGTGGTATGAAAATGACCATTTTCAGAAACAATAACATTTAGGTAACCTCAGACGATTTCAGGGTGCAAACCGTAAAAGGATAAAATATATCCCTTTAAATGACAAAGTTGATTACAAAATTAGACGATTTGCGTTCGACAAACGGGTAAACTTAAGATAGAGTTCCCAATCCTTTGGACTGCGTGAAACATTTATATTATTTTAATGAAACCGATTAAAAAAATAACGATGGTACAGTATATCATGTGTTGATCTGCTTTCCTTTACTAATCCATTTTGAATTGCTTTTTTTTTTAAACAAAGGGCTTGCTCTAGCCGTTTCTGGCCTGCTCCGAAGCAAGCATCACTAAAATCTCACGTGAAATTTGAGATAAAGGTTGGATATTAGCCAAATATGGATGTCTAATTTTATGATATTTGACTTTCAAAAGGATCAATTTTGCTGCTTTCAGTATTTTCTCGAGAGAATTAATTTATTGAAGTGCACTTTGAAGATTGGAAGCACCTTGGAAGCACTTTGGAAGGGTTGGAAGAATAATTCTCTAATAAATTCATTTGGATTGGAAGCTTCCAATCAAATTTTATACTATTGGAAGCATAAATGCACATCACTGCTTATAACGATACTTTTTGTCTTTATTCTTCTTTCTAGTTGTTTATAGAATAAATCGGGTTTCTTACTTTAGGGTGTTCCTTGAATCGACGAAGGTTCAGAACACGTGCTGTTATTATTGTCATGGTCATACAACTGTTTTTTTCTTCGGTTATATTTGTAATAATATAAATCTCTGCATTGTAATATTTGATGGGGATTTTGGCTAGCACAACGCGCTGATCGCATTTTACGTGTCAGATAACATGGTAATCAATCTTGCGAACAAATTAGTTACCGTCCTAAATCATAATTTCTATTAACTTGAGAAATTAGGTAAGTTATTCGTTAAATGTTTTTAGATTTTTTTTTTCACCATCTTAGATTCGAAATTTTATATTTATTTAATACTTAGCAATTAGAATAGTTTGAATTTATACCGTGGGTTAAATTTGGTTCTCAGATCTTGCAAATGGTTCAAAGAATTTCTATGAAAGAGATTGATGGTAAAACAACAAGTTAATACTATTTTTGAGGAAATTTGTCAAAGAGACAAAAAGAGGTAATGTTGGGTGATTTGTTGATAGTTAGCGATGGAACTTTATTATTGCCGTTTATTAAATGGCTTACAGTAAATCATCCTTTATTTATTAATTTGTTTTTGAAATATCAAGCCTTTGACCCAAGTTAAGACTTTGTTTACTGCGGCAAATGCAATGCGGAAGTTACTCTCGCATAAAAAGAAATTGAAGCTATGCATAAGAAAACCAATTAGGAAGAATAAAATAATATATATATATATACAAAACTATCCATCGGAAAACTAATAACGATAATATCCAATGTCGGGTTTTTAATCGATCCGAATATAACGCCAGAATACCAATTACAGAGAAATACATTAAGATAACATTATTTTCTAACAGAGGTATCACTTCCATATTATTGACTAAAGTGATACTGCTGTGGTTTTTATCACCCAAAATTACTTTGGTACAACAGAGATAAACGAGAAGATTTGTAAAAATTAATAAACTAAAAAAAAAAAAAATACTGAGCTGCGGATTGTAAGATGACATACGATAATTCTTTGCTAAAATATATCAATTAAAATTATTTTATAAAATAATAATTCCAAAATCGCACTAAACGTTTATAATTGTTAATTATTATATTTATTATTAATTATTATTATTTTTATTTTGAACAAACCAAGGTTTATGAGAAACTCATCTAATTCCTCTTTTGGCAGGAATTAAGCCAAACAAGAAAAACTTTTGACTTAATGTTATCAACATATGTCAACACAATAATGAAATTTCATGAGAAAAAATGCGATTTCCTTGTCGTAATCCCATTGCTATTTAAAATCATATGAATAAAGTAATTAAAAGGAAAACAAAAAAAGCTTGTATTTTAAAACATCACGCCATTTATTTACAGATCGGCATCTGCTACCTTATTTTTATAATTAGAAATTAAACCTTCGTTATATTAAATATGAATTCATATCACAAACCATGATAAAGAAATTGGACACAGGATAATTTCCAAAGATTTAAAATGCTAATAATGACTATAAATGAATGATAATCACACAAAAAAAAAAACAATTCATAAGAAAAAACCAGGAAACGATTGAACCTTTTAAAGGAGAACATTGTTACGTTGTGATTATATTTTAATTTGATTTTTTTTTCAATTATTTTCTTAATATTAACTCCCCAATACTTTTTACATAAACAACTTTGGGTGAAACACGCGTTGAAGAAAATGATAGGGAAAAAAGGACAAAATGTTTTTTATAAAAAAGGAGAGATTTTTAAATTTGACGTATTTTGATAGACATTTTTATAAAAATTCTCTCCATATAATCACAATCAATAACAAACCTTTAAAAATGGGTGATTATATTAATGGGAATAATTAATTCCAACAAAAATGAAATTGATTTTTAAGAAAAAAATTTATCGTAAAGTTTCTTTTTTATTTTTTTCGTATTAGAATAAGAAAGTCTCGAATTAACTAAATTAATACGTGATAAAATTTTCAGCCTTTTTTATTTTATTAATAATAATTCTAACCTAACCTTTTTTAAAGGAAATCGTCTTATGATCATGTATTAAAATCCAAAAAAGATTTAACTAAAAATATACGTGAAGTATTTTGACGCTTTAAACGTGTATTACTTTCATCATTCACCTGTCATTTTAGCGAAAAAAAAATTTATTCCCCCTAAATTTTTTCTTTCAATAAATATTACTAAACTCCGACACCTTTTTTTTTTCCCTTTATTCTTTTATTTTTTTTTTTTTTTTTTTTTAAAAAAAAAAAAATTTAAAAGAAACGGAGAAAAAAGTACTTTACCTTAGAAGCAAATATTTTACGCTTATCTAAACCTTTTTAAAAATACATACATAATACCTAATCCTATATGTGGGTATCCAAATCATTTTAATTTTTTTTTTTAATCTTGGTAAAGCAAAACTAATGTCATATAATATACTGCATACTATTTCTTTTTTAGACATCAAAAAATGACGAAAGATCTAACTGATCTAGAAAAAGATCAAAAAACAGTTCCAACTACGTTCATATGGTCGAAAGGGGGTGACCATGTTGCTTTAGCTGGTTCATTTGATCCTCCAATACCAACATGGACTCCAATTGAAATGCAAAAAATTTCAAACGATTCTCATCAAGTGATTTTGAATTTATCACCCAATAAAAAATATTTTTATAAATTTGTTGTGGATAATCAGTGGGTTTTGGATCCTAATTTAGAAAGTTGCTTGGATGAAGAGGGTAATAAAAATCACCATATTTCCGTGCAACCTTTAAAACCTTGCCTGGATGAAAATCGTGAGCATAATGTGGATCCTTTAAAACCACCTGCTACTGTTCCATTCAACGGTAAAGAAAGAGACATGGGGTCAGATGTGTTTAGTGTAGAGGAATTTATTTCAACCGAACATAAAGAAGAAATTAAACCCAGGTGGAAAAATTGTAGTATTAATTGATACTATATTTGTTATTTTTATAAATAATTATAAATTTATCGACTTATTATTAATGAATAGTGGCGAAGCATAAAGAATTGCTTTTATTAGGAATCTTCCAAAAGATACAAACATTTTTATTTACATTTTTTCAATTGACCTTTTTTGCAGTAAAAAACATACGTATATTCAATTATTTCTAATAAATAAATGTTATTTTGTAATTAACATTTTGTGAACATGTTCCGACCAAATTTTAATCCGAACGAAAAGTTTGTGCTTCCGTATATCATATGTATATTCGATTCTCGTAAAGGCTCTGGATATTTTAACAAAATTTTGATTTTATTGCATTATAGTTTTTGATGTCAGAAATTAGCAGACTAGTCAGCATAAAAGTATTAAACCTGTGGTTACACGCAGCACTTAAAACTTTGCATGTCCGGTTTGAAACCAGTTTATTTTAAACAGCTAACTTCCCTCTAATGTATTTACCTTCCGCTTTAAATCTTGGTACCTCTCATAATAATCATTCATGGTTAAAATAATATTTCTTTGAGTCATAGAGACATCATTGATCAATTAAATATTTTTAGATTTATATTCTTACCATTTTTTTTTTTGGTTTACAGAATAAAAAATGTATACTAATTCAACATATAATATGTAATATTTGCAGGTGTTTCTAACCAAATGCTTAAAAAAAAAGCAAATATTACAGTTCAAAAAAAGTATTAAAGAAATTATTGAAGTTTTAGACGAGATATTAAAGTTATGGCTGTGTATTTGCAAGATAGTAATATATTCCAAATCCAAAATATATAAAAGTATAAATTGCTCAATAAATTCGATTTTTTATTTTATAATAATTATTTAATAAAAAATTTTTATATTAAAGCTCTAATTAATTTTTTAATAATAAATTATATTTTAAATAAAAAAAAAAGAAAATTAAATTTAAAATATAAATACAATAAAGATTAAGAGTAATAATATTAAGTTAAATAAAATTTAAACTAAAATTCTATACTTAATTTATAATTATTAATATTATATATATATATAATATTAATTATAAAAGATAAATAGATAATATATTATCATTATATTTACTTATCCTTAATATTCACATTAATAGCTATAATAATTGATCTTAAAGATTTTCATTATCTTATTATTTTTAAATATTACCTTTAATAGTAATAGCATATGATATCATATGAATTTTATGATTTATAAATTGTCATATATCAAATGTCATTTGTAAAGGGTTATAATATATATAACTTTGTCATATGACTTAATTTAGACAGTATTATAAATTTAATTTTACAAAAGATTATTTTTTCCAAAAGTTAAAATGAAAATATAATAATTATAATTTATAAAACTAGTTAAAATTAGATAAGTTATGTGATTTTCATGACTTTATAATATATAATAATATAATCGTATGACATATAATTTTATGACTTGATATATAAAATAATAATTTATTATAGTCAACTTTTGATATAGCGAATTCTTGATATAATGAATTTTTTGAACAACTATAATAAAAATACTCTTGTTATAGTGAATTGACCAATCAAATCTCTTAAAATCTTCACTATAGCCTTCTAGGGGTGACCGTATCACAAATAAGAAAAGTATATTACATAATTCAATAGATCAATTTTTATACGTTTACAATACTTTTTCAAGAAGCTTGTGTAGTCTATTCATTCTATAAAAAGTGCATAGATGCTAAGCATTTCTTAAGCTTTTGAAGCTGTAGATTAACAATTTCAAGTGAATCTATTTGAATCTAATGATCTTCAATATATCTGAAAATAAGAATTGCAATAAATGCCAAGCCACTGAATCGAGTAGATTTCATCTAGTAAAAGGAGAGAAGTAAAGAAAAGCTGAGAGTAAAGGTCTAACAAAGAAAAGCTGAAAGGAAGGTGTTGTTTTGTGTAATACTTGCTATATGAATCTTGTAGAAAATCCTTTGAGAAGAGATCCTAAACAGAAAGAAGTTACAGAAGAAGAAGAGGTAAGTATATCTAATACAAAGTTTATACTTTCTAAAGTTATCAGAATGATGACAAAAGTCCTATATGAAAAAGAATATATGCAGAATGAGAAACCCATTTACAAATTTGATAAGGGAAGGACCAGAAATTACGTCATTATGATTTTAAGGATTTTGACTCCCTCTCCCTCTCTGTCCTCATTTTTATTACTTTTAAATAAGAAAATCATATAATAATATCATCTTAGGTAAATCTCCCCTCCCCCCTTAGGAAATTACATCATTTTTGAACCTTCCTTAAAATGCGAGAATTAATGGAAAAAAGTGAACCTACTTTGAAAGATTTTTTTGAATCTTTATATAGCGGCTCAGCTTTCTGAATATAGCAATCAAATGATAGATCGTATGAAAAAAATCATGTTATTTATTTATTATCTTCTTTTCTCGTTAAATAATACAAAAATAATTTTTTTCAAGTTTGATCTAGCTTATTACCTAGATTCAGTAGGGATAAATAACGAAGTTTAAATATTATAACAAATCTTAGGGTGACTATAACGTCAAAGGCGGTAGATCAGAAGAAAAAAATAATATCTGATGCATATGAAGAATATATGAAAAATGCTCTTAAACACAATTCAGAAAATATTTTTTGTACTAAACGTCAATAACTATTATAATATATATATTCAATGGTAACCTGATATAACTGAGACTTCTTAAGTAGCATATATGACAATGATCTTAACAAACCCATATCTGATACTAGCGATATCACGTAACAGAGTATTTAATCTGAAATTATAGATGACAAATTAATTCAGAAATATCTTAACAATTAATTTATTATAAATTTGGGTATTTCTTATTATGAACGTATGTGAAATGATACAAAAAATATTCTGATGAAGAGTTAGTAAACAGATTAACGATATATAGCTACAATGAAGAATAATGAAAAAAAAGATAATCAGTATATACAGAATTCCATTCTTTTTAATTTTGTTGAAAGGGATTTGAAAGAGGTAGAGGATTATATGAGCGTATTTCAGATTATATATCAAAACTATATATTATTAAAAAAAATTAGTAAAAATAATAAAAAAAAAAATATAGTTATACATATAAATATGAAATAAAAAAAAAGATTTATTATAAAACTAAAATAATATAAAAGAAGGAAAAGTTAATTATTAAAAATAAAGAAAAATATCAAAAATAGAAAATTATAAAATTATAAGAATATATAATAAAATATATAATAACTTTTATTTAATGAAAAAATCACAAAAAAATATTTAAAATATCAAAAAAAATTGAGAAAGAAAATAGAAAATAGGATAGAAAATGAAAGTGAAGAATAAAAGTTATTATAAAATTAAAATCTGAAATTAAAAAATAATAAAGAAATGAAAAAAAATATAATGTAATATTAATAAATATAATAAAATAATAACGTAATATTAGAAAATATTTAATAAAGAATGATATAATATTAGAAATATTAATAAAAGAAAAAGAAATTAAAAATTATTAGTGAAAAGAATTAAAATAAAAATTAATAATAAAAAAATAAAAATTAGAAATATTAGAAAATAATAGAAACAAGAAGAAAAATCTATAAATTGATCTTATATAAATAGAGATAAAATTTATTATATATTATAAATCAATTAATTATATAATAGTAACTTTATAATTAATAAAGAGAAATTATATATAAATTAAATTTAAGATTTAAAAAGAATAATAGGTTTACCTAAGTATTAGTATAATTATTAATTTATAAAATAATATTTTTAAATAAAATATTTTATTACCAATTGTTCTTTTATTAATATACAAATATAATAATAAAAATATTGAAACCTTTTTAATATATTAAAAATAATAATAAGATGATAAATATCTTTTTAATATATTAAATATCTCTGTAAAATTATGAAAATTTTTATTTGAAAATAAACTAAGATAAAAAATTAATGAAGTTAAATAAGGAATAAATAAATAAATAATAGAAATAGTATATTTGTTAAAATATTTATATAAAACTAATTTTTAAATAATTTATAAAAAGAAAATAATAATTATAACAAAAAGAAAAATTATGGATAATAAATAAAATGATAAACTTAAAATAATTGAATAAAAGGTTTAAAATAAAATTAAAGAATATGAAATAAATAACTAAATATTATTATAATAAAATAAAAAAAGAATATGAAAATAATAAAAAAGAATTATAGAATTTGAATAAGAAAATAAAATTAAAAAATTAAAAGAAAAGCATAAATATAAGAATAAAATAATAAAGAAAATTTATATTAAAGAAAATTAATTAAAAATTTGAAATAAAAATAAAAATAATAAAGAAATAGTATTTTTATAAAATTAAATTAAAAATAAATGATGAAATAATACTAAAATAATTTAATTGAGAAAAATAATATTGAGATTGAAAGAGAAAGAGTAATAATTCATATCTGAAGTTTCTTAAACAAAAAAATTAATTTGTAAAATAAATTCTTTTAATGATGAGTAGTAAAAATAAATTAAACAGATATAGCTTTTGTTAGAATTATTAAACTCAAAAATATTATATATTTATAAAATTTAAGTTTTAATGATTACAATATCTATAACTTTTTATATATAACTTATTTTGAAAACTGACTGATAATTTAATAAAACTTATTTTAAAGAATTAAAGTTATCAATTTATTTTTTTTAAATTTAAAGAGTTGAAAGATTTAAATATTAAATTATATTTAATTTAAGTAATACAAACTAATGTTATTTATTTACTTATAATAATAATTAATATATATAAATTATATAATATAATAATGTAACTTAAAATTTTATTTAAGTATACTATTTATTAATTAAATTATTAAAATAAAAAATGCAATATATAAAAAAATTGTATAATATTGTTAACATGCAATCCTTGCGAATTGCGACAGTTAGACGGGGTGTTCGAGTGGTGATTATTTTAAGTTTA